CCTCAAACACCCCGTAGTTGTGTCTGCAGAACCTGTCCACCGCGGCCCGCATCCGCTCCAGGAAGTCCTCCTGGCTGTTCCAGTACTCTGCGTCCGGCCGCCCCAGCTCGGTCACCGCGCGGAACTCCCCCACGTCGCTGTCGAAGCGCACGTCCTCCTGCCCGTTGTGGATGTATCTCTGCAGGTACCGCACCCGCTCCGTCCCGTTGGAGAACTGACACTCTGCCTTAAGCTGCTCCAGGAAATGCGCTGCGGGGACAGGAAGGACCCGTCACGCTGGTGAGACAAGATGGCGACGCCGGCCATTGCGGGGCGCCAGGCGGTGGGGACACAGGACCCGGCACCCCCACTGCCAGCGCCCGGGGCCCCTCCTCTGGGGCTGGGAGGCCGCAGGGCAGGGAGACCCCTGGGACCCTCAGCCTCTGGGGACCCACTGGGCTGCCCCGCGGGGCTCTGGGCTCCATGCTGGGCCAGGACTTGTGCCATCACCACCTCCTCCTAGACGCCCCCCCCCCCCTCACGCCCAGCCTTTCCCTTCCCCACACCCGCCTCCTCCTGTCACCCCCTGGGCAGGGGACCTCCTGCCAGGCCCCAGCTGCCCGGGACCCAGGCAGGAAACCGGGCATCGCCCTCCGTCCTGCAGCTTAGAATTCACCAAAGTCCCCATCACACCCAACCACAGGCGCATCCACACAGGAGGGAGATGGCAGGAAAGGGGCGCCTGGAGCAGGGACCACAGGGTCCAAGTTACTGAAATTACTTGTGGGGTCACCAAGATTCATGACTCATAAAGGACAGACGTGGAAGGTCAGGAGAGACATGATGACCAGAACTCATGACGTTTTGACAAACATCGTCAAATAAAAGGAAGGTTTTAAACTTCAAATGATTGAATGGATTCAACAAGAAAGTGGTGACTTTGTGTAACTGTCTAGTTTTTTTTTTTTCTTAAACCGTGAAGAGCTGCATTGGAAGGTGCGTGTGTATAAAGTGTGAGTGTAGAATTTTCAGAAACAGCCGGTGTCCAGCAGTGTTTTCACCCTCAGCACTATTGACGTTTGGATCAGATGATTCTGTGAGGTTGGGGTGAGTGTTCTGTACACAGTGGGCTGCACTCGGCATCCCCACCAGCTGTCAGAGAAACCCCCGTGTGACAGCCAGACATGGCTTCACATATTGCAGACGTCCCAGGGGTGGGAAGAGGGGGAAGAGGTGGTGAACCACCTGAAAAATCTGGGGTGAAAAGCCACTGTTGATTATGCAGCAGCTGGGAATGACAATAAAAATTTAGCCAAGCCCTAGCCAGTTTGGCTCAGTGGGTGGAGTGTCAGCCTGCAGACTGAAGGGTCCCCGGTTCGATTCCGGTCAAGGGCATGTACCTTGGTTGCGGGCACATCCACAGTAGGGGGTGTGCAGGAGGCAGCTGATCGATGTTTCTCTCTCATCGATGTTTCTAGCTCTCTATCACTCTCCCTTCCTCTGTAAGGAATCAATAAAATATATTTTTTAAAAATTAGCCAATATTGTGTCTGTGGAAAGGCTTGGTCTGTATGGAATTTATATTCTTTAGGAATCTGGTCCCAGTGCAGACTATTTTTCCAGCAAAATAAACTTGTTCAGGACCAAGATCTACCTGTTTCTTTGCCTTGTTAACCAGCCACCAGGTCATCATTTGTCCTCCACATCGTCTTTCTTCATCTCCCGGCCACTGGCCCACTGCTTGTCTACAGGAGCAGCTACAACCACGGCCATTTGATTCCTGTTCAAAGTCCCAACTAATTCACTTTCTAACTGCCTCCTTCTCCCAGTAATACCAGGAGGCATCAGATTACCAGCCTTGGCCAGATGTGGACTCTCATTTCTACAGGCAGGTCCCTCAGAAGGGGAGCAGCTGAGATGACCCCCCTCACAGAGACAGATTACAAACAGGAGCAGGTCCCAGACTTTAGATGGAGACCTTCACGTAGAAGTGATGGCAGAGCGGAGGGCACTCTGGTCAGACTTGGTCTATCAACTTTTCACAAATTCCCCAGCACCTTCCTGACACCTGAGAAGCTGAAAAACAAACGTGTGCATTGCTGTTCACTGTAGCCTGTGTGGTCAGCACTATCAGGCCATGCTCATGGGCCCAACTGAAAGGCCACCAAATAAAGCAAATAAAAATTCATAATTCCCAGCACATGTGGAATTCAGATAAATAATTGTTGTTTCTCTGAAATTCAGCTTAAGTCAGGCTCTTGTATTTCCTTTGGTAACACAAGCCCACCCTCTGATGAAATCTGAGGCGGAGGAGGGCACTTAAACTTCTTTGTGTTTCTCATGTGCTCACAGTATAGTGTGAGCCCATATGGAACTTTTCAAGTTGTAAATGCAAAATGAATGTAAATTCCTCCTAAATATTGGAACTGGCAGCCCTTGCACCTGCTGCCCCGAACCCCATGCTGGCACATGGGAACATCAGAAATCTCAGCAGCAAGTCAGACCCAGCCAAGCCCCTGTTCACAGTGGGGGTAGAAGCCCAAGCTCTAGAATGAGGAATCTAAATTAGAACATTAGCTCTCCCACTGGGTCAGACTGTAACACTCATGGGCCTTTTATTTTATCTCTAAAATAGATTTAATGATACTGTATTCCTCACAGGATATTGTTAAGTGTGGAACTGAATAGTGATTCTTTCTGGTGCTGATCATATAAGCACTCAATAAGTACATTGATATTTTAATTCTTATAACCCCTAGGAATGCAAGCTCATACGATCTTTCTACTCCTTAACTTCCTAGAGCAAATAATACCTTCATCACCATTTGGCAATTGTCTTTAATTAACTTTATCACTAAATGTCATTTTGATCACAAGGACAGACACATTGGTCTCTGTATATAACGGGATACACATGCACCTAATATGAAAAGACTATGCTGACATAGAAGAGAGGGACTTTCTTGATACTGAGATCCAGACTATGTCACCTGGTTCTACAACTAACTCTGTGACTCTGGGTAAGTTACTTAAACTCTCTCAATTAGATTCCATGGATTATTGACTTTTAGCCCCATGGGATGTAAGAAAACTTCACAGTCTCTCTCTACTCCTGCTCAATGTATATAATTTGAAACCATGAAATTGCTAACATTTGACTATTTTTAACTAAAAACACAGAATTTCATATAATTTATCTCTACTAGTTGAGTGCCTACCTTTGAGTCAGGCCAGAGAAGGGAAGATGTAGGAGAAACTGACACACTGTGCTGGAGAACAGAGAGGACAGGGTGCAGAGAGCAGTACGAAAAGGTTCAACATAGATCCATAATGAGCACTAACCTGGCCAGGCATTCAGAAGTTGCCTTAAGACTCAGCGGTTCTCAACCTGTGGGTCGCGACCCCTTTGGCGGTCAAACAACCCTTTCACAGGGGTCGCCTAAGATCATCCTGCATATCAGATATTTACATTATGATTCATAACGGTAGCAAAATTAAAGTTATGAGGTAGCAACAAAAATAATTTTATGGTTGGGGGGCACAACATGAGGGACTGTCTTAAAGGGCCATAAGGCTGAGAACCACTGCCTTAAGTTCTTTTTTTTTAAAATATATTTTATTGATTCTTTACAGAGAGGAAGGGAGAGGGATAGAGAGTTAGAAACATCGATGAGAGAGAATCATCGATCAGCTGCCTTCTGCACACCCCCTACTGGGGATGTGCCTGCAACCAAGGTACATGCCCTTGACCCGAATCGAACCTGGGACCCTTCAGTCCGCAAGCCAACCCTCTATCCACTGAGCCAAACTGGGTAGGGCTGCCTTAAGTTCTTTAAGGCATCAAGGCCACCCTGTAGATGCCCCTCTCTGTAGGGTCCTTCCAGGTACTAAGAATCTCTGCTTCAGCTCCCGGGGGCTTTCCACAGGAGGAAAGAAAGCACTAACTCCACTTCTGTCAGAGAACCTCCATTTCAGGGGCACTGGCCTTAAAAACATTGGGGTTTAGGGAGAAAGGAAAGGAGATGGTGGGGAGGCCCCTGGATACATCTCACATAGTAGGGAGAGGCACCAACATCACAGATTCTGCTGAGGCCATAACACAGGGTCCTCAAAGAGAGACCCTCTAATTCCTTTGACTCCCCATAAAATGCCAGAGAAACGTTCCTCTTGGGGAATAACTCAATACAATAATTGGAGCACTGGGTGGGAATCAGTCTGAGATCATTATTTCTTAATCCTCTCAAGACCCCGATGGAAGGGGACACAGGCTGGGGAGGTTTACTGGAGGCGAGGTGAGAAGAAACGGCTGAGATACATGGAGCCCCCTGCACATCTCCTGGTGGCAAGCACCAGCCCCTTTTGTGGTGGAAAGAATCAGGATCCATATGGTAAAGGCAGGTGGCCACTGAGGAAAATGCCACCATTTTCTAAGGGACATGGCCTGGACACGGTGACAAAGCTAATTCCCTTTCTTCCTCCCCCACAACAGCTCACCCCCAAGGTGCACTTACTTGGGGTGTCCCTGGCCTGAGCCAGGGGAGGGCTCAGTGCCATCAGCATGACCATCAGAGCGGCCATCCAGGAGCCTCCGGGGAGCAGCAGACACACCATGCTGGAGCTCAGAGAGCACAGGGGCAGGGAGCAGGGAGGTCTCACTCAGTGAGGACTGTGACCCTTCTCCACCCACATCCCAATAATACCAACTGAGGAACTCATTTCTTTGTTCCTGGATTGGGTCATCTCAGTACTGAGAACCAATCAGCATCAGCAATGAACAGCATCATCAGTTGCTGGTCAGAGATTCAGTATGAAGGTCCTCTTTTAAAACTTCGAATTTCCTGCATTAAGAAACTGTTTTAACTTAGTGCTTTAAAGGTTTGATCCCATCCTATATGAAACACTGTATTGGGCCCTGTTGTGAGGCAGCTCTGCACTGGTCAGTGATGAGCACACAAGTTGGAGCCTTTGGGGAGCATTCGCTTCTCTCACTGCAGACAGAGCCCTTTAGACAAAAGATTGAGTGAGTGTGCTGGGAGCTGAGGGTGAAGGAGGTGATTGCAAGTTAGGAGGCCTTCAATTTTGTCCTTTTGCACCACAACTTAGTGCTGAAGATTTGGGAAAATGACTTAGCCTCTCACAGTTAAAGCCACTGTGACCTTTCAGGTGTTTCAATACTGGGAAAGGCTGTGATTCTGGGGACACCTCATGGAGCAGCTTCCCCTGGTAACTGATGACATGACAGGCTTGTAGCTGCTGATTGGAGAGTATAATCGGTGACTCTTTACAGGGGGGATGTCAGTCACTGAAGGAAAATGAAAGTTATTCAATAATTATCCTGAGTGAAAGGTGTTTCAGGCTTCTCTCCTGGTGCTGTCACTGAGCTCAGGGCCCCTCCGGAACACACTGGAGAAAGGGGCCAGAGGAGGCGATCTGTGTGGGATGGAGGGAACGTGCCTTTGGACAGCACTTAACCCACCAGTGTGATCAGCCAAGTGTCCAAACCAAAGTGAGCAAGGGACTGGGAGACTGAGAAGGACTCAAAGCCAGCCTGTGGCCCAGCAGCTCTGCGTTAGAATAGCTGGTATTACATGTGAAAAGCATTCAGTTCTTTACTCCTGGTCCCCATTAGGATTTTCTCATTTTCTTGGGAGCATGTCCTCTTATTTAGTCAACTGCTCTTGCTTTATTCTAAGAAAAGGTAGAAGAAGGCTTTGCTAATGAAATTATTACAGAGTGCTCAGGAAGTGGAACTCAATGGGAAAACTAGGAAGTACATCCTTTGATGTCATCATGTGATATAGAGCATCTAGTTCTACTTAGATAATCAGTACACATTATACTAACATACATGTGCCTCTCAGATCCTGGGTGGACTTGAAAGGACAGCTGTCCATTGAAGTCCCACGTTAATTCTCACGCCCCAGTTCTGACGCGCAGTCCTCCATGTGCCTGCATGTGTCTAGTGACAGGATACTGACCATCCTGCAGCGAAAGGACTGCAATTGAGGGGTGAAATGGAGGAAGATGGTCAAAAGGAACAATCCAGCTAAGAAATAAACAAGTCATCAGGATGTAATGCACAGCTAAGAGAGTAGATCTTAAAAGTTCTCATCACAAATTAAAAAAAAAATTGTAACTACATGTGGTATAGATATTAACCAGATGTAGTGATCCTTTCACAATATATACAAATATCAAATCTTTATGGAGGGAGGTCCAAGGTGATAGTTAAGTAGTAGGCTGCTGAACTCACTTCCTCTCATGAGTTACTCAAATATATAGAGAAAGAATGGGGGAGGGAGGGAGCAATTACTCCAGCAAGACAACTGAGAGCTGAATGAACAGCTCTGAACAAAAAACAAGAGACAGGGACTGAACTGAGAAGGCTGGAAAGCTGCAGAAGCAACCTCACCCCCGTCCCACCAACCCCTCCACCGCCCTACCAACCCCTCCACCACCCCGCCCACCCCTCCTCCCACCGGGAGCTTTGGGCACTCTCTGGGCCAAAGGAGCTGATGAGCACCATGCATTCCAACCCCCTCTACTTTGATAAGGCAGGCGGGGCTTTATTCGGGTGCACTACCTTGTTGCATTCCCAGATATCTTGCCTCCCTGGCAGGAGCTGCTCCAGCCCAGTCGCCATGCCCCCAGCACTGTGCATGCCTGCTCAGGTCCTCCTGGCTGCCCAAAGCTGCTTGGCACCTGAAGCCTACAGAGGTCACTTCTTCACAAACCACCTTCCATTCAACAAACAAGAGAGAGCCATACAGAGAAGGCTGGGGAGCCATGGGAGCTCTCCAGGGTCTGAGGAATTCTCTGAGGAGGAAGAAGAAAACAATGATTTATATACAAAGGAAACTCCATGAAGCTACCAGCTGATTTCTCTACATCAGTTTTACAGAGAGAGGGAGTGCAGGGCACCCTTAAAACGCCACAAGAAAGGAACCTACAACCTAGAATAACTTACCCACAAGGTGATTATTTAGATTGAAGGAGAGATAGAGTTTCGCAGACAAGCAAAAACTAAAGAAGTTCATCACCATTAAAACAGTTTTACAAAAAGTGTTAGAGTGTTTTTTATGCAGAAAAGGTAAGGCCATAATCAGAAATGAAGAATGAAAATATGTCACAAGTAAAGCCAAATATTTAATAAATACAGTTAATCAGAAATTTAAAAAGCTAGTATGAAGGCCAAAAGAAAAAAGTATGAAATTCAACTCACAAACAACACAAAAACAATTTTAAACATACCATCAATAACAAAGTATGGAAGGGGAAGTAAAAATGTAGTCCTTGTAGAATATATTTGAACTTAAATACCTAAAAGCTAAAATCAGACTACTATACAGAAATGATATACATAAATTTCATGGTAACCATAAACCAAAACCCCATAAAACATATACAAAGAATAAAGAGGCTTAAAATGTTCTAAAAAAATCCATTCAGGTAACCTAGTCAAACAAAAAAAGCCAAACAAAAACTGTAAAGAAAAGCAGCAAATCACAAGGGAAGAGATCAGAGAAAAAGAAAGGAACAGAGAACTATTAAAGCAACCAAAAAACAATGAACAAAATGATAATAAGTACATACTTATCAATAATTATTTTAAATGTAAATAGATGAAATGCTCTAATAAAAATGTATACAGTAAATGGATTTAAAAACATGACCCACTTATATGTTACTTACAAGAGACTCATTTCAAAAACAAAAACAAGACATACAGATCTAAAGTGAAGGGACGAAAAGACAGTCCATGCAAATTGAAATTTAAAGAAGCCTGGGGTATCAATATTCATATAAGACTAATCAGACTTTAAAACAAAAAAATGTAAGAAAAGACAAAGAACACTTCATAATTATAATGGGTCTATCCAAGAAGATGATATAATAATTGTAAATATCTACATACCCAACATAGGAGCATCTAAATATATAAAGCAATTATTAATAGACATAGAGGAAGAATTCTGCAATAATACAATAATAGTAGGGGGATTTTAGTAACTCACTCACATCAATAGAGCTCAGCCAGACAGAAAATTAATAAGAAAATAATGACCTTAAAGGTCACAATACACTAGGTTAACTTAATCGATGTTTTTAAAGACATTTTATGCCCAAACTGAAGAATACACAAGTTTTTTCAAGTGCACATGAAACATTCTCCAGGATAGATAACAAATTCGGTCACAAAACAAGCCTCAGTAGAAGATCCATGTGGCAGCAGAGTAGGTGGAAGTTACACTCACCTACTCTCAGGACCATATCAAAATTACAACTAAATTATAAATCAATCAACATAAATAACCATCTGAAGACTAGCTGAATAGAAATCTTATAACTAATGATATAGAACCTCATGACTAGTAAGAGGACCAGAAATGCAAAAAAGGTTGGCCCTTTACCCAAGGTCAACAGTTGAGAATCCAGAAAGATAGCTCAGCTGCAGGGGTGTCCCCAGAGGAGCTATGGGGTCTGAATCCTATATTGGGATCCCCAGCCCAGAGCACCAGGGCAGGGAAGAGGAGGCCATATAATATCTGGCTGTGAAAATCAGTAGGGGTTCCATCCCCCTAGTTGAGATAAGAGGCAGCTGGAAATACCAGCATCTTCTTAAAGGGCCAGCACAAACCATTTTGTACCCAGGTATTCACCTTGGGCTCTGGAGGAAACTGGAGTGATAGAGGGAGAGATTGGGTTGTGTGGCCTCAGGGAGGTGGCAGAAGGACAGCTACCAATGTTCCTATGCTGAGTCCTCTCCCACACTGCCCACAAACATCACCTTTCCTGGGTTGAGCACTGCCTTCCATATGCCATTAGCCCAGAGATGCACTAGCCCAATCTTGCTGACTCTCCGATGCCCCACCCTGCCAAGCCTACACATGATGGAAGAATCTGCTCATGGCAGCCAGCCTGGGCCTGCCTTACAGTCTTTCTTGAAAAACACTTGACAGGCGCCATATTTCCTGTGCAAAGCCCTCCCTCCAATCTTACTAGTAAAATGTTTTAACCTGATGAGCTCTACTGGTCACACCCTGACATCTCCCTGAGACCCTGCCCCACCACAAATGTCTGCAGGCCCCAGGAGGGTGTCAGCTGACCCTCGTGTACCCTGAGCCTTTGCCGAATGGTCTCAGATCCAGCACTAACACTGCACTGAATTTACATCAGTATTAATGCTGTGAACACAATCTCCCCTACCTGGTAACTCACTGAGCACCTGCCTCACTCAACTGGCGTACAGCCAGAGCTCTTCCAGTGGCTGAGCCTAATGGACAACCAGCAGGCACGCACGCATCTCAGGGTGCCCTCGGCCTTTTGCTGAGTTGCCCCGGGGCTCAGTGCTGTGAGAACTTGTTATACACCTTTGACCCTCCAGTGCACATCTAGGCCCAGCACAGGCAGCCACAGATTTGATCACTTTGTAGCTCCAGGCAAGTAGTTCAGGGCGAGTCTCAGGCAGTATCTGATATTGACCTTCACCAGAGTCCCACCCAAGCAGCCCACGAACCAACACATCTGATGAAGGGCTTCAGACCACATTCCAGAGCAGAACACAATTAGCTCCATAAGCAGCATATCCAAAGGGAAATCTCATCAGGCACTACACCCTGTTCAGGCCAGTTGTGCTTCATGTGGTCAGCACCAGCACAGCAGCTCGTACACTGTGGTCAGGGTCAGTC